ACTTCCAAGAAATATGGGGTTACCTGAAAAGACCAAATTTAAGATTTATTTGGATAGATGAAGGCTTGGAGATACAAACCAAAGGAATGTACAATCTTTTCAGTGAAACAAGAACAGAAAATTTCCCAAACCTAAAGAACAAAATGGAAAATCAAATATAGGAGGCTTACAGGACCCCAAATATCCAAAATTACAACTGATTCACACCAAGGCACATTATTATGAAATTGCCTAACGTACAGAATAAGGTTAGAATTTCAAGGGCTTCCAGAGAAAAATGACAAGTCACATTTAGAGGGAAAACAATCCGGATCTCAGCTGATTTCTCAACCTAGACTCTCAAAGTTAGGAGGTCTTGGAATAATATATACCAAGCCCTGAACAAAAATGGATGCCAGGCAATGCTAGTAAACCCAGCAAAATTAAGCTTCAGATGATCTTGAAATAAAAACCTTCCATGATAAACAAAAGTTGAAAGAATTCACAACTAGAAAGCCTGAACTACAGAACATGCTCAATAAGGTATTTCATGAAGAAGAAATTAAAAATAAAAGTGAAAACTAGCAAAGGAAGGAACTACAGTAGGAGAATAGTCAATCAAAGGAAAAACTAATTCAAATTAAAAGCCAGAAATAAATTGAAATGACAGGGAATAAAAATCATTTCTCAATAATAATATTGAATGTAAATGGCCTAAATTCATCAAACAAAAGATATAGACTTTCTGATTGGATTAAAAAATAAGACCCAACAATATGCTATCTCCAAGAGATTCACCTCATAGGCAAAGACTTAAACAGACTGAAGATAAAAAGATGGGGGAAAGTTTATCATTCACATGGATCTTGTAAACAAGCAGGGCTTTCTACCTCATATCAGATAAAGCTGACTTCAAGCCAAAGTTAATCACAAGGGACAAAGAAGGACATTTCATACTAAAGGAATCACACATCAACAAGACCTAACAATTGTAAATATTTATGACCCAAACAATGGAGCATCTAAGTACATCAAACAAACCATTCTCAATTTCAAGAATCAAACAGACTACAACACAATACTGGGTAACTTTAACACACCTCTCTCACTATTAGATAGATCCTGCAAACAAAAACTAAATAAAAAAGCTATAGAACTAAAAAATACAATTAATATTTTAGACTTGATAGATAAATATAGAATATTTCATCCATCCATGACTGAATACACTTTCTTCTCAGCAGCACACAGATCCTTCTCTAAAATAGACCATATCTTAGGCCACAAAGCAACTTAGAAAATACAAAAAAAGTAGAGATAATACCTTGCAATCTATCAGATCATAATGGAATAAAATTAGAAATCAATGATAAAATAAAAAATAGAAGCTACTCTAACACCTGGAGACTAAATAGTATGCTACTGAATGACTAATGGATAGCAGAAGAAATCCGAGATGAAATTAAAAAATACTTAGAGGTAAATGAGAACACCAATAAAACACAGAAAACTCCAAGACCGTATGAAGGCAGTGCTAAGAGGAAAGTTGATTGAATTGAGCTCATTCATTAAAAAGATAGAAAGTCACCCAAAAAATAACCTAACATTACATCTTAAAGCCCTAGAAAAAGAAGAACAAACCAACATCAAAAGCATAAAAGACAGGAAATAATCAAAATCAGAGCTGAAATCAATGAAATTGAAACAAAAACAATCGAAATACCTTTTCCTTTTATCTTTCAATTCTTGAAAAAGACCATGTTCAAAAGTGTTCAATCAATTTGTACATATTTATGGATTTTTGAACTTCCCTTCCACTTTTGGTTTCTAATTAGATTCTATGATGTTTACAAAATAACTTTAATATTTTCATATCTAGTAACCTTTGTTTCATTCCCTACAAGTTGGTCTATCCAGTATAATATTCCCTTTGCTATTCAGAGCTTGAGTGTATAAGTCTAATTGGTTTAAAATGTTTTTCAAAGTCATCTGTTTGGAGATTGCCATTTTGTTATGACTTTACTTTTCTTTACAGTAAGTGGGGATTGCTGTCCCAGTATTAAAGTGTTGTTTTTTATTTCTTTATTGAATTCTCACCATCTTATCTTTTTATATTTTGGAAGTATGGTATGAGTTTCAAGTGAATCTCCTCTGGTTGCAGTGTCCTAGGGAAAGCTCCCTTTTATCTTTATGTATTATTATCCTTTTCCTCTTTTCAAAGTTTTGTTAACATAAAATATATTTTATCTCATATACCTTTTTGCTTTAAAATGAGACACGGTCTCTAAATTTAAAAATACCTGGAACCTGATTTGCATACCATGATTTGCCACCCCAGCTTTGTGTATGTGAGTGTGTGTGAATGAGTGTGTGTGGTGCTGGGGATTGAACCCAGGGCCTTGTGCATGCGAGGTAAGAACTCTACCAACTAAGCTGTATTCCCCAGCCCCCCAGCTTTCTTTTGCTGATATGTTTATTTTTATTATATATATATACATATACATATATAATTGTAGGTGGACACAACACCTTTATTTATTTATTTATCTTTATGTGGTGCTGAGTATCAAACCCAGGGCCTCACACGTGGAGGTGAGCGCTCTACCGCTGAGCCACAACTCCAACCCCTTTATGTAGCAATCATACAGCCTTTTGTTCTCAGTCCACCTGTGTCTTTAGAGTCACCTGTAGATTACATACAGGTGTATTTTTTTTGTTTTAATTGGTATTTTGTAATAATTCATTTATAATCCAATAGATTTCTAAAAGTAATAAAATAACATTGAGAAAGAAAAAAAAAAAAAAGACCCAGTTTCCAGGAGAGGAGTTGGTCTGAGAGCCCAAAGATGTGCACGGAAAGGCAACCCGAGGAGCCTTGATGGAGACTGTCCCAGGAAGGTGGGGAGAGGCCAGCAGAGGACATCCAGTCTCCCAGGCTGCCCCCACTGCCACCGCAGGCTGTGCGGGGAGGATGTCCCAGGCCTCAGCAGGCGTCCCCACCACGCCCAGGGCCCAGCACTCACTGTGATACACACTGGACTCTCCCTGGACTGTCCTTCCCCCTCACTGGCTTCCTGGCTGTCCCAGCTGTCATGCCAGGTGGCTGAGACCCACCAAGATGCCTCGGCCCAGCTCCCCTGGTTGCAGTGGGATCCTGGAGCCTGCTCAGGTACCAGCGCCATCCAGGTTCAGGGTGTCCAGGGTGGGGATGGGGCAGGACACAGTGGGCAGCGGCACAGCTTCCTGGGCCCCTGCATCCCCTCCTTGGGCTCCCTGCTCCAGCCAGCCCCTGCACCTGGCTGAACCTGGGTCTTCCCTGTTCTGCCTCCTCCTCTGGATATGCTCTGGAAGGCCGGGCTAACTGCCTCTTGAATTTGCCAGGATACCTGAATCTGTCCACCCCACCGTCCTCAGTCCAGCCCCTCCCTGGCCACGCCCCATCAACCCTGGCATGAGGGGGTCCTCTGGCAGCTTGCAGTGCCCAAGCCCACACCCTGCTCCACTTCTCCCTCGTGGGAGAATCCAGGGCACCTGTTTTCACTGGGCCTCAGTGTCCTCACTGCTGATTAAATGAGATGATACACAGACAGCCTGGTCGGTCCCGACACCCAGCACGGGCTCTGTGTGGAGTTGTGTTTGTGTTACTCTCCCGCAACCCCCTCCTTCCCCTCTCCACCCCTCTGCCCACAGGGCCACCAGCTCCTTCTTGTCGACCTGCCAAACCCCCTCCCCCAACACAGCCTCTCTGAGCCCCCAACCCCAGCCAGGCGGGGTCCGACCTCCTCCCCCGGCACTCCCTGCCCCGGCACCTGCCCCTCACCAGCAACCCTGGCCAGCCCTGGCTCTGTCCCTGCCAGCTCTGCCACCAGGGCCAGGTCCCTGCCCTCTCTGAACCCTCACAGCCAGCACACAGGGGATGGCTGGTGTGCCCACCCCATTACTGCCCCTGTGGCTCTCGTCCTGGGGGCTCCGTGGTAGCGCAGTTCCTTATGGACAGAGTTAAAGTGTCCTTAAAGACCCCGTGTAACCTCTCGGGAAAGGGCAGTGTTGGTCTGTGCTGGAGCATGAGGTTGAGCGGGCGGAGGCGTGGGGACCTGCTTACCTCAGAAACACCGTGAAACGTGGCGCTGGCTGAAGTCCAGCGCACAAGGAAGGAAGGACCAGCTCCCTCCAATGCCCACCCCACACCCTTCCACCCCCTGGACATGCACAGGTGTCTGGGATGATGACTGGGGCCAACAAGAATTCAGTGGACATTCCTAGCACTTTCTTTTAGACCCTCACGTACTATGTGGACTTTGTATGATAAGCAAATGTCTTTCATCAAATGATAAAATTTGTGACTTTTTCCACCTTAAGTAGCATTTCAGACGCAATGCAAAAGGAAAGGGCAGAAGAGTTCGAAGTCCACTTCTCCAGGAGGAGGGCGGCAGGGGCAGTCATGGGGACAACCAAGAAGGCCAAGAATTCTCTGGAAAAAAGTCGTACCTGTGCTGATCTTTTGTCCTGGCTCTCTGAGCCACATGACCAGGTGGCCTTTGCATTATAGGGGGAGCTACGGGCCATCTAGAGACCCGAGGGGCAGAGAGTGTAGCCCAGAGTGTGTCACCTTGGCATTGCGGGCACAGGTGGGACCCGTCTCCACTTGGCACTGCGGGCACAGGCTTGTCCTGTGCTCCAGCGGCTGTCCAGCAGCACCCCTGGCCTCTGCCCACTGGATGCAAGCAGCACCCCCAAGTTACCTCCAGACACTGCCCAGCGTCCCCAGGGGCAAGATCACCTCAGCAGCTGAGAACCACTGGGTTAGAATGAGCAGTCGGGGACAGTACGCAACCTGTGGTCCAGGGCTGGGCGGGGACAGCCAGTCCGGATCACAGAGGCCATGAGGACCCCAAGCCCAAGCTTCCTCCCATGGCAAAGGCCTGACCAGGCAGGCAGCTGCAGCCAGGATGCCCCAGGTAGGCACGGCCACTCGGTCTCTCCCGCCCTGGGCACCCCAACCCTCACCTAGCCGCCCTTACCCAGCCGGATGTCCCCCTCGAGGGTCATCAGGACGTTGCCCGCCTTCAGGTCGCGGTGGATGATCCTCTTGCTGTGCAGGAAGCTGAGGGCCTCCAGCATCTGGCGGCAGACCACCTGGATCTGGGGCTCTGTGAGGCCACGCTCCAGCTCTGGGGACAGAGGAGACGGTCGGTCAACTCCGCGAGCCTTGCCACACACCAGGCACCAGAACCAGCAGGGCCACCCACACCACGGTGCCCTCGCTGAGGACCGGCTCCCCCTGGCACCGACCCGTCGACCATCCTGTGCTCAACGACCAGCCCACGGGCAGCACGATCATCGTGCCCATGTACAGGGGAGGCGAGCAAGGCTCAGAGGGCCACTTGCTCGAGGCCACACAGGTGGGCAGACACAGATCCGAGGACCAAGCAGAGTTGAGGTGCCTCGTGCAACCAGCCTGGGCCGGAAGACACGGCCACCTAGGCCCCTTCGGTTTACGACAGGCACAGGACCAGGTTGCTGATGGACAACAGACGTCTGTCTGTCTGGGGTCAAGGTTCAGGAGGCCGAGAAGTGGGGGGGGGGGGCAGGGTGGTGGCATCTGGTGGGGCTCCTGCTGCTTCACTACATGGGGGCGCCAGGTGGCAAGAGGGCGAGGGTGCTTGCACCAGGTCTCCTCCTCCTCCTCTTCCAGAGCCACTCTGCGTCCTTGTCACCTTCCCAGGGCCCCAGCTCCAGTGCCATCAACGCTGTCTGGGGACTGGGTTTCCACCCATGGACTCTTGGGGACATACTCACATGCACTCTGTCGCTTTATGGGGGTGCACAGCTCTGTGAGTCTGACACACTGTGTATCACAAACCCCATCACAATCTGCCTGTGGATGACTTCCTGCCCCCCAGCCTCCCCGCCTCCTCTGAACCAACCTTTCCTCCACTCCCAGGCCCTAAGTGGCCCCTGCCTTGTCCCTCTCATTGTGCCTTGGTCTACAGCCTCTTAAACTGGACTCCTACCATATAAGGACGTTTTCTAGAACCTCATAAAACTGGACTCAAACACGACATGGACTTTTGAGTCCAATAAATCTCAAGAAGAGCCCTGATTACACAGCAGTACGTGACTGCCTTCCGCTCATTAAAACCACGAGACTGCAGCCCTGCAGAGGGGCCTGGGCCTCCGACCCCAGCCTCCCCTGAGCAGGGTTCCCAACCCACATTTCGGGGCTGGCAAGGTGTGTCAGCCACAGGGGGACCGGCCACCTGAGCATTCTCCACATCCCACAGAAGGCCACTCCCGTGCCCTCGGCTAGGAGAACGGGAGCCTGAGTGGACCTCTGCCAGCCCCAAGCCCAGAGGGCCTGGGTGGAGCGGGTGACCAAGGGCAGGAAACGCCCAGTGGGGGGCAGCTCACAGCTAGGCCCGGACATGGGTGGTCTCTGCTCCCACCGTTATCTGCAGGAGGTCGGGGCCATCTTCCTCCAGCTGCTGCCACCGACAAGGGCCACCCTGGCCGAGGCGGGGCGCAGCCTGCCCGTGGCCCCTGCTGGCCTCCATGCCTCTACCATCACCAGCCTCACACAGACTTCACCAGGGGACGGCTGAGAGTGCTTCCCCTCCCTTCTGTCTTGGTAGCAGAACATTCAGCATCTGCTTCAAACCCACCTCCCCAGCCTCCCTCCAGCTCTGCGTCACTGTCACATCAATGAGTTGCCATTGGAGTGTGACATGGGGCCTCCAGAAGGTCTCTCTCAAGAAAGTCAGGGCACAGGTGGGCGGGGGAGACTGTCCTACCCTCTCTTCTCCATCCTGTGGCTTAGAATTCAGATATGATGACTGAGCTCCCGTGACCACCTCGTCACCAAGAACGAAACCGGCATGAGAATGGGGCGGAGGGTTGGAGAAGGAGGCCAAGTCCCCTGTCAACCTTTAAAAACTCCTAGAGCAAGCTGTGCCTGAAGCTGGCCTCTTCGAACTTTCCAGTTATTTGTTCAAATAAACTCCTCCCAAACCCCCACCCTTTCCCCCTCTAAACCAGTTTGGATAATTTTGGCTCCTTATTACCCAGCAAGTCTCACTCACATAAACTATCACTTTATTCTGTTGGATTCCACCCCTGAACCCAGTGACCCTGAGTGGGGCACACCCGGTGGCCACGTAACACTGCCCTGTGTCCTCTTCCCTCTGATGTCTGCCGCCCAGGAGCTCCTGGACAGGTGGGAGGCTGGGTGCTACTGTGAGGTGGGGAACCTCAAGAGGCAGGGCCCCTGGGAGGTTCCAGATCCTTGGGGTGTCCTCGGAAGGACCTGGGGTCTCTGGGGGACCCTGGTCTCTCTCAGCGAGGGCTTCTCTTCCTGAGTCACTCCAGAACCCTGCCACTCTCCCTCCTGGGGACCAACCCTGGCCACTGCTGGCTCCCTGCCCTGGAGGTGGGGAGAGCAGCGGTCGGGGGTGAGGGTCTCTCAGACCCGGGTCACATCTCAGTTCTGCTGTGTGACGAGGACGAGCTCCTCAACGTCTCGGTGCCAAACCAGAGATGCTCTCTCCGATCTCCCACGGGGACTAAAGGAGGACAACCCCCGTGAAGCAGCTGCACAGCATGGCATGCAGTGACCACTCCCAGCACCGTGTCCCCCAGGGTGTCCTCCTAGGTCCACGCGCTGCAGGCCTGGTCCCTGTGGGTCACACTGAGGGGATGGAACCCGAAGGTGGGGCCTCGTGTGGGCGACCAGGAAGTGGGGCTCCACCCTCAGAAGGAGTGAACCTGGTCTCAAAGGGTGAGTTCTTGCAAGAGCAAATTGTCATGAAAAGAGTAAGGCTGTCCCCTGACCTCTGTGGCTTCCTGAGTCACCACCTGGTGTCTTCCACACCTGCTCCCCGCACTGTGACACCATCCACCAGAGGTTCCTCACCAGAGGCCAAAACTGTGAGATTCAGAAACCTCTTTTCTTTATAAAGTACCAGCCTTGTGTATTTTTGTTATGGATTGGACACAGAGTAATGGTGATGACCAATTTGCTCAAGCTGGCCCAGGGCCTCGAGACCCGATAAGCATTTACAAATGGGTGGACACTATGGATTGAGAGTGTCCTCCAAAGTCTGTGCACTGGAAATGGGGTCCCCAGGGCAACAGTGTGGGGAGATGGGCTCTGGACGGTGCTGCTCTCATGCGGACTAATGGCACTGTCATGGGGTGGCATGGTCATCACAGAAGGGGATTCCTGATAAGGGCTCAGCATGGCTCCTCTCTTGCTCTCTCTCTCACACAGGCCTTCTTGCCCTCCACCTTCCACCATGATGACACACAAAACGGCCCTTGCCAGATGTTGTGCCAAGCTCTTGGACTTCCAGCCTCTAGAACCCTGGGTCACATAAACCTCTGTTTTGATAAATTATCCCGTCTCAGGCATTCTGTTATAGCAGCAGAACATGGACTCAGACAGTGACCTCCCACTTTCAAGGTACCCCCTAAGTTGCCTCATTCTCACTCCCGAGAGTGTTGTGTGGTGGGAGAGGGAGGCACCACACCCACCTCACAGCCAAGAGAGCTCAGAGGGTGAGAGACCAGCTTGAGGACACACGGGTTTTGAAGGGGAAGGGCTAGTCTTCCAATGGATGCCCACAATTCAGTCCAAGAAGCCCCAGCTTGTCCCCACAAGGGGATGGCAGAGAGAGGTTCTTGGTCTGAGGAGAACCACGCAGGGGTCCCACCAGGATTTGGTGAATCCTCCCATCCCTGACAGTGCCCTGCCCAGCCCAGGACAACTTACCCAGCATGATGGCGTCCACTGCTCCCCCGGGGCAGAACTCGATCATGATCTGCAGAGAGCACAGGACAGGACAACCGTGAGCAGGGCATCCTGCCCCCCAGGGGAGCCCGGGCCAGCTCTGGGGGAGCTGACCCGCCCCAGCCTCCCCGCCCGGCCCTCCCAGGAGGCTGCAGCCCAAGAGGCGCCTGGGAGCTCCAGTGTCCAGAAAAAGCAAAGTGAAGTCCCCCCGGGAACGCAAAGCTGCAGACACGGGTTTCTCAGCCAGACCTGTCCCACATTTTGAACCTGGGAGAGGGACAGGACCGGAGCCCGCCTGTCCCTCTCCCAGGTTCCCAGTCAAGGGCCTCGAGGACACCTGCCCGGCCCTCACCGGATCAGCCTCGTCCTCCCAGGGCCAGCACCTGTCTCTTGCCCTGTCCAACCCCCGGAGCCCAGCCCTCGCCAACCCAGAAAACCAGAGCATCAGGGCCTCGGGGCTCAGCTCAGACGGAGAAACCAAGGCCTGGAAGGGACAGGCCTGACCATGGCCACATGGACGGTTCAGTGCCAGGCCCTGGAGAGAACGCAGGCTCCAGCCCCAGGCCACTCATTCCTCCCCGTCACCCACCCAAGCAGGGAAAGGCTCCCAGCCTAGTGCAGGGGACAAGCAACGAAGGACAATCCCAGTGACACAGGCCGTGGGCAGCTGCCCTCCCAGTCCACTCATCTTCAGTCTCCTGGGCACTTGGGCTCCTAAGTGAAGAGATGCTCCCTCCTCTTCCTTCCTGCATAGCGCCAGGACCCCCAGCCTCCCAGAGTCCCCCCTGGCCTCCGACTCCCAGTGCCTACAGCTCAGCTCAGCGGAGACAGAGCCAGTCAGTCACTTTGTCCCCCTGAGCCTGTCTCCTCGTTGCAGGAGGTCAACTGCAGCTGCTGGGTGTGTGGGAGAAGCCACGCTGGGACGCAAGAAACCAAAGAGGTCAAACAGGAGCCAGGGGACAAGGTGCCGGGTTTCAGGAGTAGCAGGACAGCCCGGCCCTGCCAGGGTGCCGGGTGCTGGGAGCACTGTGTGCCAGGACCCAGAGTTGCAGGGTGCCCACCGGGGAGGCGGCAGGTCCTCTGAGGGCCTCAGGCTGCTGGTCCTGCCTGGCCTTCAACATCAGGGCTGACCTCAGCTTCCCATGACTTCTCTCTAAGCTGACAGTGACCTGCCACCCTGCAACAGAAGTCACTAGAGACATGTGGTCTCTTGCTAACGTGTGCACCCGGGGACAGGCGCCTCCTTCCCTGAGCCACTCACGCCCCTAGCCAGCCTGGCTTCCGTCCCAGGGGCCAGCAGAGTGCCTGGGTGTGGCCTCGCGCCTCGCCTTCGAGGGACTCTCAGCTGCACAAAGAGGGACAAGAAACTAACCACTTAAAACAGCAGCTGTAAAGGCACCGATGGAAAAGAGTGACACTCGTCACCACGCAGGGACACTCAGTGGCCCAGTGACTGCAGGGTGGGACGGAGGTGTCCTGACCCTCCTGGGAGCAGGAGCTCGTCTGGGCTCGCTGGGTGCCTGGCCCGACTGGGGCTCCGTCACTGCGGTCCGTCCTGTGGCTCCTTCCTGCCGCTCAGGCAGGCCCTTTTAATTTTTCTGTTTGTTTCTGCTTTGCTTTTTGAAACTCCATGAAAGCTGTCCCCTCTCCTCTCACCCAGAAAAATGCCAACAGGAGCAAGCACTCGTGGGCGGGCCCACTGAATCTGTGCAGGTCTTGAAGCTCCATCCTCAGACCTGACCCAGACCCGGTGAGGAGCCTGGATGGGGGTCGGACAAGGGGGTGCTTAAAATCAACAGACCCATTTTGCTATGTGGCCGTCTCCTCTAGCTCAGTCATCAAAAAGGAAATGGCACTAGACAGGTTCAGCTCCCACAGTGTCACTTAAATGACTGGGTGACCTTGGATAAGTCCATCTCCCTGAGTCTCAGTTTCCTCACCTGCAAAGCGGCACTAATCTCTGCCTCCAGGTGAGTGAGTTCCCAGCAAGGGAGCCCCGCATGGAGGCCGCACCTGCTGGATCTCTAAACCACAGCGGGCTCTCAGGCCAGCACCTGCCCAGAACTACAACCTGTCAACACTCCCTCAGCAGCAAGGAGAGTCAGTATAAGATGCAGAACCAGGCGGTCCTGCATCTTCCAGTGACACTGTCCCTTGCACAACACCCTTACCCAACATCCCCCGGCCCCAGCCTTTCCAGGAAAGATGGCACATTCTGAAAACCTGCTTCCCTTTTCTTATTTTGGCCTTGGCTGCTGGGAAGCTCAGAGCAAAGTCTGAAATCAGACCTTAGCTTTGGTTTGATTCTTATGCCTCGCTCTTTTCAGCAGGTGGGTCTTTGACCTTCAACTTGGTGGCCCAGGGCAGCAGGCACTAGTGTTATGAACTAACTCATCAAGTTTCCACAGAAACACGTGGGATTTAATTAGTAAAAATAATAATCCCAATAGAATAAATAAAGTAGTTGGCCTTTCTTGTCTATGGATTCTGCTGCCATGAATCCACCAATTTCAGATTAAAAAGGAAAAAAAAATCTCAGGGAAAAAATGCACCTGTACTAAACACACAAAGAGCTCTTTCTTGTCCTCATTCCCTAAGCAACTCGGTGTAACAACTTCTCACACAGCGCTGGCCTTGTATTAGGTGGTCCAGGTAATCCAGAGAGGGTTTAAAGCACCAGGGAGAGATGCGTACGTTCTATACAAACACTGGGTAGTTTTATGTAAGGATCTTGAGCATCTGTGGGCTTTGGTACCCATGGGATCCTGAACCAGTCCCCCACCTACATGGAGAGGTGACCACAATAATGATAGTAATATATGCAAATAAGCTAATAATCTCAATGCCTTGGGGAAGGTCATAAATTGCATGCTTAGTAAACAGAATGGGAGCGTCTGCACTCGAACGACTGCAAGCTTTACTTCTATGTATCTGACACACTTTATTCAATCAATGTGTTCGACTGTTGTGGTGCTCAGGGCTTTCTCAGGGCCTGGAGAACTGAGGTCTGTGGTCAGTTTAATGCATCAACAAGTATCAACTGAGTGTCCCTCAGAAGCCCCACACTGCTAGGCAAAGCAGAACCCACAAAGTAGTATTGGATCAATAAGCACTGAGCTCCTAGTCTGTGACAAACCCGGGTGCTGGGGACCCAGGAGGAAACAGGCCTCTGCCCAAGACCACAGCAGAGGAGGGTGCGGAAAGGAGTGGTGTAGGCACCCAGTGACTGCTACCCAGAGGCCTGTGCGAACAGTAGGCAAACAGCTTCCTGGAAGAGGCACATCCAGGCTGGGTGTTTGAAAGGCAAGGACAGGGCAGGCAGAGCCCAGCAAGAGCAGAGGCAGGGTGGCATGAAGAACAGACGGGGGCAGGGTGGAGCATTGCAAGGGATTCAAAAATACTCAACAGGGCTGGGGCTGGGGCTGGGGCTCAGTGGGTTCGATCCTCAGCACGACGTAAAAATAAACAAATAAATAAAGTAAAGGGACTTATCTGTGATTTAAAAGGAAACCAGACCTGAATTTTCAGATTGGCTCCACTCGACTCACCAGCTATTGAAGTTTGAGGTTTTAGTCTCAGGGCTACAGGTGGGTTTTTTTTTTTTGTTTGTTTGTTTGTTTTTTGTTTCTTCCTCCCAAGCAACAGTGGGAACAACTTTTTTGAAGGTTCTGCTCACCTCCCAATGGACCCATTGCAAAAATTTAACCCAACCTCGACCCAGGAGTCTTTTCCGATGTCTGAAAACGAAGAAAATTCAGTGGACTCTCATCCGGTCAGTTCAGAAATGCTAATAAAGCAACTTCATGACTTGACTCTGAATCCTTGTGCCAAATGCCCGCCGTCCCCTCTGCCAGAAGGTCCACCCCAACCACTGGACAGGAGTGAGAGGGCCTTGCAGGAGGTCAGAAGGGGCTTTCCCAACAGGCGGCGAGGAGTCCGGACATTGTTATCTGCACGGAAAGACTGTGTGGCAAGATGGAGACATCTCCTGAGTCTTCAAGGAGAACAAGAAAGAGGCAACAATCTTAAGGAAGTTCAGAGTGAATCACAAAAGGGTACCATTCAAATGTACCTGCAGATTTTGCGTATATCATGGATGGGATCCTTCTGAGAATGCTAGAATAGGATATGAGTATGACACAGAGTCAATATAGGTGTGAATTTTTTAAAATATTTTTTTAGTTGTACAGCATGCCTTTATTTTATGTGTTTATTTTTATGTGGTGCTGAGGATCGAACTCGGTGCCTCACATATGCAAGGCAAGTGCTCTGCCACTAAGCTACAGCCCCAGCCCCAATATAGGTGTAAATTGTACTTGTTCTTCATGATGGTAATTTTAGGCACACTTTTCTATGCTTAGATTGCATACCAATGATTCTGAATAGCTTATGTATGAGTTCTGTGCTGTCTTTATTCTTTTGTATCCTTTTTTTTTTTTTTTGGTGTTGGGGATCCCTTCATGCCTTAATTCCAGTAATTTATAAGGAATCTAAGCAGTTAAAATGTGCATAAGTGATTTCCATATACTTTAGTTTTACTTTTCTGTTTGACTCAAAGAAGTACCAATAAGTCTCAAGTCTTCCTGTGGATTTTAAAAGCCTGAAATCTGAAATAAAACTCAGGAACTGGAAGAGATATAAAGAGAATATTGGACAGTTTGATTAGAGTGTAATAATTAGAGTAGATAATTAGATTTTCTGGTTTTCAAAAATTTTGGTTGCAATAAAAGGAAATTTTGATGTGCTGTTAAAAAAATAAAATAAAAAATAAAGATACTGTGTCCATTTTCAACTAAAAAATATTTTTAAAAATACTCAACAAAATACCAGCAAATCACATTCAGCATGACCCAGTGGGATTTAGACCAGGAATGCAAGGATGGCTTAACATACAAATGTCTATTGATGTTGTATACCACATCAACAGTGTGAAGGGGAAACACACCATCATCTCAATGCAGAAAAAGCATTTGGCAAAAGCTAGCATCATACTTAATGGTGAAAGACTGAACCCTTCCTCAAGATCAAGAG